CAAAACAATGGCTGTATCCCACCGAAGCAGGGTGGCCCAAAAAGAAAAACAAAAGCTTCTCTTTTTAACTTTAGTAATGTATACAAGGGGTTACTAACCCCTTGCTCCTGGCATTTTAGTCGCCTCTTACAACACATATGGCTTACTGAGGAATAATTATGTTCCACTTCCCCGTGGAGAATAAGATGAAAATGCATACGACATATTACATTAATTGAAGGTAAATTCTATACATAACAATTGTAAAGCAATTTGGTAAGAGTACTATGAAGGCAGATGTTGCAAGTATATGGAATAGGTGGTAAGTTATTAAATGCTGTAAAGAGTTTTTATGAGGATAGTGAGGCTCAGGTTAGGGTGTGTAGAAGAGAGGGAGACTACTTCCCGGTAAAAGTAGGTCTTAGACAGGGATGTGTAATGTCACCATGGTTGTTTAATATATTTATAGATGGGGTTGTAAAAGAAGTAAATGCTAGGGTGTTTGGGAGAGGGGTGGGATTAAATTATGGGGAATCAAATTCAAAATGGGAATTGACACAGTTACTTTTTGCTGATGATACTGTGCTTATGGGAGATTCTAAAGAAAAATTGCAAAGGTTAGTGGATGAGTTTGGGAATGTGTGTAAAGGTAGAAAGTTGAAAGTGAACATAGAAAAGAGTAAGGTGATGAGGGTGTCAAATGATTTAGATAAAGAAAAATTGGATATCAAATTGGGGAGGAGGAGTATGGAAGAAGTGAATGTTTTCAGATACTTGGGAGTTGACGTGTCGGCGGATGGATTTATGAAGGATGAGGTTAATCATAGAATTGATGAGGAAAAAAAGGTGAGGTGGTGCGTTGAGGTATATGTGGAGTCAAAAAACGTTATCTATGGAGGCAAAGAAGGGAATGTATGAAAGTATAGTAGTACCAACACTCTTATATGGGTGTGAAGCTTGGGGTGGTAAATGCAGCAGCGAGGAGACGGTTGGAGGCAGTGGAGATGTCCTGTTTAAGGGCAATGTGTGGTGTAAATATTATGCAGAAAATTCGGAGTGTGGAAATTAGGAGAAGGTGTGGAGTTAATAAAAGTATTAGTCAGAGGGCAGAAGAGGGGTTGTTGAGGTGGTTTGGTCATTTAGAGAGAATGGATCAAAATAGAATGACATGGAAAGCATATAAATCTATAGGGGAAGGAAGGGGGGGGTAGGGTCGACCTCGAAAGGGTTGGAGAGAGGGGGTAAAGGAGGTTTTGTGGGTAAGGGGCTTGGACTTCCAGCAAGCGTGCGTGAGCGTGTTAGATAGGAGTGAATGGAGACGAATGGTACTTGGGACCTGACGATCTGTTGGAGTGTGAGCAGGGTAATATTTTAGTGAAGGGATTCAGGGAAACCGGTTATTTTCATATAGTCGGACTTGAGTCCTGGAAATGGGAAGTACAATGCCTGCACTTTAAAGGAGGGGTTTGGGATATTGGCAGTTTGGAGGGATATTTTTGTGTATCTTTATATGTGTATGCTTCTAGACTGTTGTATTCTGAGCACTTCTGCAAAAACAGTGATAATGTGCGAGTGTGGTGAAAGTGTTGAATGATGATGAAAGTATTTTCTTTTTGGGGATTTTCTTTCTTTTTTGGGTCACCCTGCCTCGGTGGGAGACGGCCGACTTGTTGAAAAAAAAAAAAAAAAAAAACTATGAAGACATGAGACTCAAAACACACAACCTCAATAATTAAAATTTCAAATGAAACTAGTTCTTGAAATTACTACTCTATAGTTGCAAGACTGAAAATGTATATGGTATACAAATGTACACTGTAGTTCATTACATGGCAAAAGGTAAAGCATATATCAGTTCTGAAACAATTTTGTGAAAAAATGAGGAGGGGGGGGACTGTGGTATTGACGAATTAGTTAACCCTTAAACTGTCCGAACGTAGATCTACATTCACTCATATAGCACTTCAAATACAGTGGACCCCCGAGTTTCAGCAGCGTCAACTTTCGTGAAATTCGACTTTCGGCAAGTTTTTTCGGTAAAATTTGGCCTCGAGTTTCGTGATTAGACTCGTGATTCGGCGACCGTCCGGTACCCATCTGCCCATCACCGCACACACAAAGCCAGTCTCCCACGCCATTCACGCTCAGTGTGCCATTGTTTACCAACACGTGACCATCACCCCGCGGGTTCATACGTAATAATCCATTGTTTTTTGCGATTGCAATTGCTAAATAAGTCACCATGGGCCCAAGAAAAGCTAGTGCAAGCCCTTTGGTAAAGAAAGCGAAGAACACGATCCAGAGGGATTTTGAAGGGTTTGAGGCAGACCCTGACCCTGCCGACCCTCTGCCTGTTGTGGAAGGTGTTGTGGCATTGGGCAAGTCCATGGGGTTGGAGGTGAGTGACAGGGATGTGGAAGAGTTGGTGGAGGATCACAGGGAAGAGCTAACCACTGACGAACTGCAAGAGCTTCAATTGGAACAGCATCAGACCACAGCTGAGGTACTTGCTTCAGAGGAAGAGGAAAAGAGAGTGAAGGAGGTGCCTTCTTCAGTGATTAATGACATGTGTTCAAAGTGGAATGAGTTGCAAAGTTTTGTTGAAAAGTATCACCCTGACCAAGCTGAAACAAGCCATATCTGCAACATGTTCAGTGACAAAACCTTGTCCCACTTCAGGCAAATCATAAAGAAATGCCAGAAACAGACCTCTCTGGACAGATATTTTGTGCGACAGGGGTCCAGTGACTCTCAAGTTGTTCCCAGTGGCATTAAAAGAAGAAGTAACCCCAGAAAAGGACTTGCTACCTGAAGTCCTAATGGAAGGAGATTCTCCTTCCAAACAATAGTGTACACCTTCCTCCTATCACCTCCTCCCATCTTCCATCCACCCAGAAGTCTTCAGTAAAGGTAAGTGTAATGTTATTATTATTTTTGATATGCATGTACTTGATTTCTGATTGTTTTCAGTATGTAAATCTTTATTTAATTTGAAAAAAATATTTTATTTTAATATTTTTGGGTGTCTGGAATGGATTAATTTGATTTCCATTATTTCTTATGGGGAAAATGGTTTCGAGTTTCGTGAATTCTGACTTTCGGCAGGCTCTCTGGAACGGATTAATCACGAAACTCAGGGATCCACTGTATTTTGAACAAAAAAAAAAATTTTTTTTTTTAAACGAAGAGATCATTCTACATGTTATAAGATAAAAAAATTTTTTAGGGTCAGTACTTACTGAGATATAAGCCCGTGAAGATGGTGCTGGATGCTCAGCTGACAACAACATCGACTCCTGCCGCTTGCAGAAGTGTTGCTGATATACCTTTCTTTCTCGTTTTTATTTTAACATATTTTTTTACGTTCTGATAATTACAATTCATAATAGTTCTTGTGATTTCATAGCCAATCTTTGTTCTGACACTAATATATTAGGTAATGAAATAGTACTCAAATAGTCACAATCACACTGACAGGTGAACATTTTCACCTGCCTGGGTCATATATATATATACAAAGTATTTATAGGTCCCAGCAATGTTTTAGACACCTGGAGTATATTTTGAAGCATGGTGTTATGACAGGCAGTGACACTTGATGAATGTGCATGCAGTGAACCCTGCTTTCTTTGTTTTCACTGTCACACACAAACATGTCTGTCTGTCTCTGCTTATCTGTCTTTCTGTCTGCCTGTGTGTGCCTGGAGTACATATGAAACTCCTTGAAAAATGGTGTTATGACAAGTGTCTGTAAACTGTTGACAGCCCAGTGACACTTGATAAATGGGCACTGCTGCAGGGAACCCTCACTTTATTTGTTTTCACTGTTACACACAAACATGTCTGTCTGTCTCTGCTTATCTATCTGTCTAGCTCTACTTAACTGTCTTTCTGTCTGCCTGTGTGTGCCTGGAGTATATATGAAACTTCTTGAACTGTTGACAACCCAGTGACACTTGATAAATAGGCACTGCTGCAGGGAACCCTCGCTTTATTTGTTTTCACTGTTACACACAAACATGTCTGTATGTCTAATTGTCTGTCTATATATCTGCCTGTCTGTGTGTCTAGCTCTGCTTATCTGTCTTTCTGTCTGCCTGTGTTTGTCTGTCTTTCCATCTGAGGTCTCTGTCTCAGGGAGCAGCTATAAAACTGTTGGTTTACGAGCCGCTCCCTGATTCCCGAGCAAGCAAAAATGCATATTGTGTCATGGTTATTTATGTCGTAGATCTACAAGTACAGTATAGCACTGAGCCTGGAATTTTTTGGGTTATCCCAGGTAATTTACACTATGTATAATAACTGTACTTATGTGTACATGTGAGAGAGATAGATATAGATAGACAGAGATATAGACAGATAGAGACAGAGCCAGAGACAGCCAAAACCAGCCAGCCAGCTAGCCGGCCAGCCTGCCGAATACATAAGAACATAAGAAAGAGGGAACTCTGCAGCAGGCCTACTGGTCCATGCAAGGAGGGTCCATGTCACCCCCCAGCTTAGACCAATGACCCACCTAGTCAGGTCACATCCACTGAAGAAAGGAGTACAGCATCAGACCTAGTAGCACAAGCTAGTCAGGTCCATCTCACACCCACTCATGTATTTATCTAATCTATTTTTACTTTCCTCTTAAAAGGGGTGTTAATGCAACATGACATCAGTGAATCCCTGGTGTTTGCCATGCTATTTGCTCTAGCTGGCGCTCAATTGAACTGGTGCTCCCACAAGGTACTAAGTGGTCCCAGATTTTTTAATACTGTGCACACTGAGTGTTAAGACCTATTCTCTCATGTCTAGGCAACTCAGGCCTATCGCCTCAGTTTTGAAGGAATGAAAAATAAAATGTTGATCTACGTTCGGAGTGCTATGCGAGTAAAAGTATATCTACAGTTGGACAGTTTAAGGGTTAAAACTGTACTAGGCACATGACACTGGACAAGAATTATTAAAACTTTTTTGTCTACAACAGGTATATATGCTTCATGTGAATCCCATCTTGAAAATTTACACACACTTACCTTAACATCACTTAGATCTAAGTTTGAATTCTGTAGAGAATCAAAGTCAAAAGATATATCTTCTGTGACAGCTGGATCCTTACGAACAGAGGAGGTATGTCCGATTTGTGGTACTTGCTGGAAAGAATTAAGACACGAGTCTAGTCAAGTTCATCAAGCTTTTTAATTATAGCCTATGGAAATAATTCTACCTGCCTTTTAATAAAATATAATTATCATGACAATTACAAATATTTAGGTACCAAAAATTTATGTACCCAGGCCCTAGCAAAAGAAAAAAATAATTTATCTTTAACAATAATTTAATAAATTATTTTAACTTTTACCAAACTATACAAGTCTCTTAGTTTTCATTTGTACAGTACTTCTTGGTGTTACCACACAGTACCTGTAATACATCTGTGACATATTTGAAACATTCTACACTCAGCCCAGCATGAAGTCAGATTTTTTGTAAAATGCTTGGTCAGCTACACTGTTCCTTCTAATAGCCTCCAAATTTACATAACTATGACACCCTGGATGATCAGGCACTTGTAGCAGGTAGTGCTTCTGTTTCCTTGTTTGTCCTTTGAGGCACAAAAACAAGGTACAGGCATTTATCAATGTAAGTATCCCATTCTTAAGTTTCCTTTCTGTCTCCAGACTATTATTACGTGTCAATATGCTGTGCACAAAACAAGTTTTTTGTTAAAATTGTTCAACTCATCAAACCTAAATAAAACTGCACTTCATTTACCAGTAGACCTTGACATGTATTGGTCTGACCTATATTTGATCAGTATCACATGTATTACAGTACAACAGCAATTTCTGTCTTCAACATTTGTTTTTGTTGACCCTTTTAAAACATGCTTTTCTGAAGTGACTCACAATATTAAACAAGTTTTGTCTGTGGATAATGCCATTATCCATCACTTGAGAGTGAATCTAAGCTTCTCAATCTATTAATCTCACAATTAGGTGCTGAATTAATTAAATGCCAAAAGACATCAAACAAATAGTATAAATGTAGCTAGTTAATTCAAAATTTCCACACCTAGAAAAAGCCGAGAAATAGTTTGGTAAAGAAAGAGGGAATGGTTCTACCAGATGATGCTGCCAAGTGGTACTTGCACTTGTCTTCTGTTTGCAGTCTTTTCCTATGCATAAGGACAAGGGAAAAAAAGGTACAGAACTGCCATGTGATGGAGCACCTATATAAATAGCTACATTTCAATAGTTACTGAAATATGCAACTTTGATAAATCGAAGACACATGGAAGATGAAGTCTTTATTTATCGATGCTTTGCATAGTGACAAAACTTCTTCTGTCCATGTGTCTTGATTCACCATTTTTAAAATAAATGAAATAGAGCAGACCTTATATTATATGGTAGTTACATTCTAAAATGCCGTGTGAGATAAACTGCTAGGAACTTTCATAAAATAGGTTACTTCTGGGAGGAGGAGGAGGCAGAGGAGGACGGAGACGGGGACAGGAGGAGGACAGGAGGAGGGGAAGGAAGGAGGAGGAGAGGAGAGGACAGGAGGAGGAGGAGGAGGGGAGGACAGGAGGAAGGAGGAGGAGGACAGGAGGAGGAGGAGGAGGACAGGAGGGAGGGGAGGAAGGAAGGGGGGAGGACAGGAGGAGGAGGAGGACAGAGGAGAGGAGGAGAGGAGGAGGACAGGAGGAGAAGGAGGAGGAGGGGAAGGAGGACAGAGGAGGAGGGACAGAGGAGGAGGACGGAGGACAGGAGGACAGGAGGAGAGGAGACAAAGGAGGAGGACAGGAGGAGGAGGAGGACAGGAGGACAGAGGACAGGAGGAGGACAGAGGACAGGAGGAGGAGGAGGAAGGAGGAGGAGGAGGACAAAAGGAGGAGGAGGAGGAGAGGAGGAGGACAGGAGGAAGGAGGAGAGAGGAGGACAGGAGGACAGGAGGAGAGGAGGAGACAGGAGAGGAGAGAGGAGGAGGACAGGAGGGGAGAGAGGAGGGGACAGAGAGGTAGAGAGAGAACAGGAGGATGAGGAAGGAGGAGGACAAGCAGGGAAGGAGGCAGAGGATAAGAACAGATGGAGAAGCAGACAGCAGGAGGAGGCCAGCGAGAGGGGAGCAGGAGGAAGGTGGGACAGGAGGAGGAGAGCATGAAGTGAGGAGGACTGGGGGAGGGATAGGACGTGATGCTGAGGGTCTGACTAGGAGGGGGAGGGCAGGAGGGGAAGAACAAATGGAGTGATGCAAGGATGGATAGGTCTACAGAGCAGACAGTGAGAGGACCGGAATAGGAGTTAGCCTAGAGTAGAGGTTACAGATGTAGAAGAGTATTGGGGACAGGAGAAGAGTGAAGGAGGAAGGAGGACAGGAGGGGACAGGAGGAGGAGGAGGGGAAGGAGGACAGAAAAAAGAGACAGAGATAGACAGGCACAAATAGACAGACCCTAAACTTGGGGTTAACATCATTTTCCTCTTAAAGGGGGAATGTTAATATGACATTATGTCAGTGAATCCTTGGTGTTTGCCGCACGTTTCTCTAGCTGCGCTCACATCTACTAGTGCCATATTTTAATATGGTGCACACTGTGTTAGCCTTCTAGCTAGGCTCCCAGGCTAATCATGCCAAATTTGGAAACAGGAAAAATAAAACGTACGTATACGTTTGGGGCGCTAGCAGTAAGAACATATATATACGCTTTGACCGTTTATGGGTTAATACTACAAAAGCAACAGAAATAATAGTATTTCTTACCTTAAATTGTAGGTGCTGGTGTTTGTGGATGATTGTGAAGAGAGTGGAGAGTTATGTTGTGGTCCTACTGGGCTGAGGTGGATGGTATAGGTTCTGGTACTGAAGTAAGGTTGTACTGGAGTGTGCATAAATTCTGTTATGGATTTCTGGGCTATTTTACCCTGCAGTACATTATACAGCTAATGGAAAGGCATCAGCTGTTCTAGACATCATTTCAGAGCACTGCTTCTAGATTTGTCAGGTCCTCATCAGTAAAAAATGTCTAACTTTAACCCTTTCAGGCTCGGCAGGGCCTCTCCTAAACTTGTTCTCAGAGTTGGAAATTTTTTGAAAAAAAAAAAAAATTATTGTTTATGAAATGATAGAGAATCTTTTCCCGATCATAATGACACCAAAAGTATGAAATTTGATGGAAAACTTACAGAGTTATGCTCTTGTGAAGTTAGCGGTCTCGACGATGTTTACGCATCGGCGATTTCGCCCACTTTGAGTCCTATTTTCGGCCAATTCCAATGTACCAGTTGACAAAAATCATACCTATTTCACTAGAACTCCATTTTCTCTATTGAATGAGTAAAAGAAACCACCCATTTATCGATTTTCACTATCCAATAACGTGGTCAGAAATTGGCAATTTTGCCAATTTCACACAAATTTCAAAAGATGCCAATTTCCAAACAGGGTCCAGAATAAACAATACAGACATTTCTGGCACTAAAATAACATTTCCTCCGTTCATTACTCCTGTCCCCAGGCTTCTCTTACATTTCTTTTGCTTTCCACTTTGAATTTTTATTCTCACAAAAAATAAAAGTTTTATGTTATGCAGACTACTGCATTCGTGTAGAAATGGCGTAGAAATGGTATAAATAATATCAGGGCACTTGTGAAAGAATATTACACTCACTGCCTTGAAACAAAGCTACAAGTCTTGACTGATGAGATAAGTGCTAAAGATGCATCCCAATTTTTTTTATTATTAACACATCGGCCATCTCTCACCAAGGCTGGGCGGCCCGAAAAAGAAAAACTTATATCATTCACTCCATCACTGTCTTGCCAGAGGCATGCTTACACTACAGTTATAAAACTGCAACATTAACACTCTTCCTTCAGAGTGCAGGCACTGTACTTCCCATCTCCAGGACTCAAGCCCGGCCTGCCGGTTTCCCTGACTCCCTTCTCACACTCCAACAGCAAGTCAAGTCCTAACACCCATTTGTCTCCATTCGCTCCTATCTAACATGCTCATGCTTGCCTGCTGGAAGTCCACGCCCCTCGCACGCAAAACCTCTTGTACCCCCTCCCTCCAACCTTTCCTAGGCCGACCTCTACCCCGTCTCCCTCCACTACAGATTTATACACTCCCGAAGTCATTCTATTTTGTTCCGTCCTCTCTGCATGTCCAAACCACCTTAACCCTTTGAGGGTCGACAGGCCCTCTCCGAGATTCGTTCTCAGGGTCGGCCAAATTTAAAAGAAAAAAAAAATTCTTATGAAAAGATAGAGAATCTTTTCCCGATCACAATGACACCAAAAATATGAAATTTGATGGAAAACTTATGGAATTATGCTCTCGTGAAGTTAGCCGTCTCGGCGATGTTTACGGATCGGTGATTTTGCCCACTTTGAGCCCCATTTTCAGCCAGTTCCACTGTACTAGTCGACAAAAAACATGAATATTTCGCTAGAACTCCATTTTTTCTATTGATTGAGTGCAAGAAACCACCCATTTACCAATTTCAACTATCCAGTACAGTGGTCAGAATTTAGCAATTTTGCCAATTTCACACAAATTTCAAAAGATGCCAATTTCCGAATAGGGTCCAGAACAAACAAGAAATACATTCCTGGCACTAAAATGACATTTCCTCTGTTCATTAGTCACGTCTCAAGGCCCCACTTACATTCTTTTGCTTTCCACTTTGAATTTTTGTCACAAAAAATAGAAGATTTACTGTTATGCAGACTACTGCATAAGTGTAAAAAATGGTAGGAATCATATTGGCGCACTTGCAAAGAAATATTAGACTCACCAGTTGACGTGTATTGGACGCTTGGCATGATTTGTTTACTTTTGAACTTTAGTAAAAATCGGACATTTCTGCTACTTTGAGCTCAATTTCAAGGTACTTTTCATTGTAAAACCAGTCAAAATCATCTCAATTTCTATGATATGCCTTCCATTCTATAAAATGAGACCAAGAAAACTAGAATACAACAATAAATACCATACGAAAATACAGTGCAAAGTCGCTGTTTTATTCCAAAAAAACGGTCAAAGTTTTTTTTTTCCCATTATGCACTGTGTGCTGCAGGATTTTTTTTATACCATGCACACTGACCACATAGACCCATTGTTTCATATGGAGGCCTACCATCTTTCTCCCACTAGATTTGAGGGTGCTAGAATTTAGGAGTACTAGTACGTCAAAAACCCTGGGTCGTAAGCCGTACTAGTATGTCCGAAACCCTCAAAGGGTTAACAACCCCTTACTCAACATGTGAATGATCCCCAATGTCTTATTTATGATGAAAGCAAATTTTCAGAGATTAAACTTCTGTAAACAGAACAATATACTAAGTATATCTCAATGGGAGGAGAATGAGGACTATCATGCAATGATACTGGCAATCACAGTCATGATAAGTGCAGAATTGCACTGGTTATTGATTTTACAGGATACCTGATGAAGGATGAAAAGGTCCAATTTATCTTAAAACTAGTCACCACAAGTGACACCCTCAGGCCTTTAAGTGAACTCTACATGCTGAGGGCAACAACGAGTAACTGGTCAGTGGTTAGTACCCAGAGTCCTGTAACCTTATGAAGTTGCTATGATTAATACACATAACTGATTATCATTTTATGTTATATTTGAATTACAATAAACTAAGAAGTTTTTAATGGTTACAGTCATGATGTTAAATATTAAGCAGCAGCTAGTAAACTTTTCTGTCAGGTAGAACCCTTACAAGTCCTATACTATATAATATCAAATGAAGAGTGAAGAATATTCTAATGTTCCTCAACATTCACATTCTACTGCAGAGGGAAAATTCTAGGGCCTTGAGCGATCCCATATTATCAAAATATTTTAATAAAATTTTACAAAGGGCATTTTTGCCTCAAATAATTTTTATTTTTTTTCCATGCCTATAAATAAGAACCTCTCTAATGTACATACCTGTACATTAGTTTATGGTTTAGTATTAGAGGTGCTAACATTAGGGCATACTACATAGTAGCATTTAATTTTTATTGCAGGAAAATGTAATGCAATTATTGTTTATTACAATATTCTCAACAATCTCTGAACTTTTCAAGGTTCTCTTAAATATACTGAAGAAAAAATATAAATAAAGGAAAAATACAAATAAAATATTACTGACATACTTACTCTACTATTACGAGGTTGGGTGACCATGCCTCGGATTCGTCGTTTCCAAGCTGAACGGCATTTTGAATCCATGTTCTGACAAATCTTGTGCCATATCTTTGATGAAATGTTAAATTTGTATTGTAGATGACATCGTATTCCAAAGATCATTAGTGGATCTAATTGTCGTTTATTCCATCTGCCTGTATTTAAAAATTAAAAAAAAAAAGAAAGAAAAACAAAAGATGCTTCTAATTCAAAAAGTATTATTACCCATTTGTTTAGTGGAAACTGCAGTGTTTCAGTCATATAAAATTCCAAATACCAGCTGAAGAAAAGACCTTATTAAGAATGAAATACTTTTCAAACAAAATCAGGCAAATTGCTAAATAAGTTAACTTGGGAATGACCCCTTTGAAAACCTATGAATATAAAAATAATATTAATGATGTGTAAATATTAAGGGTGCATAAAGGTAGAAAGCTGAAAATGAACATAGATAAGAGTAAGGTGATGAGGGTATCAAACAATTTAGATAAAGAAAAATTGGATATCACACTGGAGGGAGGGAGTATAGAAGAAGTGAATGTTGTCAGATATTTGGGAGTTGACTTGTCAGCAAATGGGTTTATGAAGGATGAGGTAAACCATAGAAATGATGAAGGAAAAAAGGCGAGTGGTGCATTAAGGTATCTGTGGAGACAAAGAAGGGAATGTACGAGAGTATATTGGTACCAACACTCTTACACAGGTGTGAAGCATGGGTTGTAAATGCTGCAGGGAGGAGGCGGCTGGAGGCAGTGGAGATGTCGTGTCTAGGGACGATGTGTGGTGTAAATATTATGCAGAGAATTCATAGTGTGGAAATTAGGAGGAGGTGTGGAGTTACTAAAAGTATTAGTCAGAGAAACCATACCCCGGCCAGGATTGAACCCGCGGTCAGAGACTCTCTGACCGCGGGTTCAATCCCGGCCGGGATATGGTTTGTTTGCAATCGTGTCATTACAATTTCATGAGTCATATTAGTCAGAGGGCTGAAGAGAGGCTGTTGAAGTGGTTTGGTCATTTAGAGAGAACGGAACAAAGTAGAATGACTTGGAAATCGTATAACTCTATTGGGGAAGGAAGGCAGGGTAGGGGTTGTCCTCAAAAAGGTTGGAGGGAGGGGGTAAAGGAGGTTTTGTGGGCGAGGGGCTTGGACTTCCAGCAAGCATGTTAGATAGGTGTGACAGGAGATGAATGGTTTTTCGGACCTGATGAGCTGTTGGAGAGTGAGCAGGGTAATATTTTGTGAAGGGATTCAGGGAAACCAATTAGCTAGACTTGAGTCCTGGAAATAGGAAGTACAATGCTTGCACTTTAAAGGAGGGGTTTAAGATATTGGCAGTTTGGAGGGACATCTAAACTGTTGTATCTGAGTGCCTCTGCAAAGACAGTGATTATGTATGAGTGATTTTGAAAATGTTGAATGATGAAAGTTTTTTCTTTCTTTTTGGGTTTTTCTTTCTTTTTGGACCACCCTGCCTTGGTGGGAAGCGGACAACAAGTTAAAACAAAATTAATGATGAATTATCGAGGATAATTCTAAGCACTGAGCCAATTCATATTAATTGCTTGAGGAAAAATTCAGAGAAGAGTAAAGATTGTTAGTTAAGGAACGCAAGTAGAACATGTGAAGGTAATGATAATGATACCCAGTGCTTGAATTCTAAAAAAGGGGTGGAAAGTTTGTAGTTAGAGGGTAATCTGAACTGTGATGGTAGCAGACTTCCAGAAAGAACAGTAACTGAATGAATGGTGGTAAATGTGTTTTTTTCTTAAGCCACCCTGTCTTTTCAGATGGCCACTGGGTGGGGGGGGGGGGGCAAAAAAAAAAAAAGCTATTTCTTAAGAAGATACATTTATCACAATGGTAAGATAAGATTTTGTTCAGATTTTTAACCCTGGAGAGTTAGCCACCCAGGATAACCCAAGAAAGTCAGTGCGTCATCGAGGACTGTCTAACTTATTTCCATTGGGGTCCTCAATCTTGTCCCCCAGGATGCGACTCACACCAGTCGACTAACACCCAGGTACCTATTTGCTGCTAGATGAACAGGACAACAGGTGTAAGGAAACATGCTGAAATGTTTCTGCCCCACCGGGAATCGAATCCAGGCCTTCCATGTGTGAAGAGAGAGCTTTAGCCACCAGGCCACCGGGCCATGGTAGGTTAACAGTCTATATTTCTTACAGAGAAGCAGGTACAACACCAGCTTTCCAGCACCCATGGTTCCTAGGCTTTGCCAGTACAGTAGTATATCAATTTTGTTGGACCAACAGAGGTCCCATCATGGTCTGCTGGAAACTTAAATTAAATATTAGTATGAATGAAACAGGTTCATTTGTTACTGTACCCAAAATCAAGGGATCACCACCAAAATCTGCAGTGTAAACAATATTAGTGATCATTCACTATATACACCATCTGTGGTTGCCAGGTCAACCATTTTGACAAAAAAGTAGTCTCGTAATTTTGTCCAGACTAAAAGAGATGCAGGACAATCTGTTGCCAGTAAATTGGTGTTGTACCTGTAATATTATTACGGGGGCGGGGGGGCTTTGGATTTCCCAAGCAAGTTGCATGGGGCGTTTTTGTTTGGAGTGAATGGGGGACGAATTTTATTTGGGAACCTACGATCTTTTTTGGAGTGTGAGAAAGGGTAAAAATTTATGAAGGGATTTGGGGAAAAGGGTTATTTTCTTTTAAGTCGGACTTGAGTCCTGGAAAGGGGAAGTACAATCCCTGCACTTTAAAGGGGGGTTTTTGGGGTTTTGGGGCATTTTGGGGGGGATAGTTGTTTATCTTTATACTTAATGCTTCAAAATTTTGTATTCTGAGAAACCTCTGAAAAAAACAGGGAAAAAGTGTGATGTGGTAAAAAGTGTTAAAAGATGATGAAAGTATTTTTTTTTTGGGGGTTTTTTCTTTTTTTTTTGGGTCACCCGGGCCCTGGGGTGGGGACGGCCGATTTGTTGAAAAAAAAAAAAAAAAAAAATTTTTCTTTCCCTAACCCTTTCATAAAATTTTTTGGGGGTAAAGTGATGTTTAGTACACTGTGTCATGTCTTAAAGCAGTCCCCTTTAAATAGCCGGGTTTGGGGGTTTGGTTTTTTAGTGGATGAGTAAAAAAAAAAAAATTTCCTGCCCCATACCATGTATAAGGGGAAAGCTAACCTTTGACCTTGGGTTTGGATAAAAATTTAAAAATTTTGAGGGGGTTTTTTTAGGGTTTTTTTCAGGGTTTTTCTATTGGATGCCCCCTGATGGCAGTTGATAGTGGATGATTAATATTAAAGGGGGAGATGTTTTCCCCTCAGTTTTCAGACTAGATAGGGGGGTTTTTTAAAAATGGGCCTCAAATTGGCAGAAATAATTGATTTTGGGGGACCGGCCCCCATCTGGTAAATTTTTAAATTGGGTTTTTAATTAGTAGGAAAAACCCCAAACCATTACAAATAATTTTTGGTTTTAAAATTTTATTAACCAAAAATAGAAAAAAAACTTCATTTTTTTTGTGATGATGGATTTAAAAAAAAGAGAAAAAGGTTTTACTTTAGGGGCTGGGAACCTGAAGTTTTATTTTGGAAACTGTTTTTAAATTTAATTTTTTTAATTTTTTTCATAAAATTAGCAAAATTTTTATACTTCGGGAGTTCTGGCGTTTTCCCTTTCCCTCAATTGATAGAGCAGTTGGGATACTAGCGGGAAAAAGCCCAAAAAAAGGGTCAGTTTTTAACAATTTAAATTGGCCTAAAAAAGACCCTTTAAAATTTTAAAAGGGAAAATGAAGTTGTTCAACATGCCCCCCTTGACCCCCCTGTCAAATTTGTAATTTTAGGTCAGATTTTTGTTTTTTTGGTGTCTTACCTTTAGGGAAAAAAGATTCTCTACCCTTTTAAAACAATAAAAAAAAAATATTTTTTTCAAAAAAAAAGCAACCCCTAATGGGGCTTTTTAAATTTTTTTGGGGTCACAAAAATAAAAAGGGTTTTCATGCACATTCACTGTCTTTTTAAACAGAGCCCAAATGTAAGAAGATAATCTGAATATCACAACATGAAAAACATCAGTGCTTCATTATTAATCATTTTTCATCTGTAAACTGCCCCTTAAAAAAGTAATGGGGATAGATACACGTTTTGAACGTAAGAGATCCGGAAACCTCAAAGATTATTCTTATTTTTATACACCTACCATTACTTACGCAGAGTTCGGTTTCCCAGAAAAACCGGTCGTAAGTCGGGAAAAGGGTTTTAAGTTTAAATTTACTAAATGAATATCAAAAAAAACATTTTTTTAATTTACTTTAATTTTTTTTGTTTTTTTTTTGGTATTTCATGTTTACTTTTTCTTTTTATGTTGTTGTACTGTATTTTTTACTGTTTAAAGGGTTTTTTTAAACACTGTGTACAACACAAAGAGTTGTTTATTTCCCAGAAATTTGGCATAAAAAACAAGGTCGTAAGTCGAGTGGTTTGTAAGTCGAGCAGGTTAAGTCGGATGGTTGGTGTATTTTAAAAAAATATTAGGATAAAAAATAAGGGAAAATTTTTTTTACTTCTTCCTACAAGGGTTGGGAGGGTTGGGCCCCAAATTTACCTTTGGGGAAGAGGTAATCCAAAAAAGTCAGAGCCAATTTTTTTAGCCCGTGACACTTTTAGA